CAGGAGTGTAAAAAGGGTACCTCCAGGTTCTCACAATTTTCAGGTGGGGCTTAGTCACACCCTGGCAAATTTGGGCTGTGCAATTAACACTCTTGCAAAACAAGCCCAATTCCCCAAAAGATTGGACTTTTTGCGGTAAGAAAAGTTGTGGAGAAATGCTCTGCATCATCATCTAATCTCCTCACAAACATATCAGGCTAAATGCTCATTAAGCAGGCCATCAGAAAGTGGCCGGAATTGATACTGCAAGGAAACCATTGGGTGAGGATAGGAAACCAATGTTCCCAGCCAGATCTACTGACTTCATCAGGAGACAGTGGTTCTCCACCCGCCCGCCCCCAGACACTTTGGTCTCCAAGTAAGCACAGTGTGCATGTTAGAAGCCCTCCAGTAAGTGTAGAATTGAACCAATAAGACAGGGCAACCAACATGATGATTATCATGTTGCAGGCTTCGAGTGCAACTCCCATCAGCCCCAGCTAGAATGGCCAATGGCCAGGGATGTTGGGAGTTGTAGTCCACAGTATCTGGACGTGACATTGGCAATCCCTGCAATAGGGGGATTGGGCAAATAAAATGCCAAAAAAACATGTAAATGAAAAGTGGAACTGCTCATACACTTTGGGGACAGCATGGCAGTTTGTGCTGCAAAATGAAGCAGTAAAGGTCCAATGACAGATCAAAGTGAGACAGGAAAGAAAGGATATGACTAAAGGTTTCTTGCTCCCAGGTCTTTATTCTTAGGCCCACTCACTAGAGAGCTCTAGGAATAATTTATAGTTTCTCCAAGGCCATCTCTCTTGTCAAGCACACAGAGCTCAGGAGAAACAGCTTCATTCAACAGCCCTTTTAGCTGACAGAGCAGACCACCTCTACATTCCCACTGAGTTGCCACACTGGGCATCCCATGGAAACCCCCCCCCACGCTTCCCTCCCCACTTCTTCTGAACCCAAACGTCATCTCAGTCAGACACTTTACCCCTCCCTTCCCTTTTGTAATATAAGGGACTTCACCCAACCAAGGCTTTTTCTCAGCCTGAACCCACCAGAACCCAGTTCAAGCACCTCTCAGGTGGGCGCCATTGCTTTTCTAAGAGAACAAGGGAGGCATTTGTGAGAGCAAACATTTTCTAAGAGTACAAGGGAGGCACTTCTTTTTCTAGAAAAATAGCACTGCGCCCAATGGTTCAGCTGTATGCCTATTTCAGGTAAACAGCTATGCTTGCAAGTGCGTGCGTGCGTGCGTGCCTGCATGCTGTGCCACCCCGTCTGCTCCAGACCATGGATTATCATGATCAGCCTGCAAAGAGCAGCTCAAGGCTGCATGTACACAGAAGCACAATAATCACACAGATCTCCTCAGCCATTATCCAACCGCAGAGAAACCTCATCACGTACTTCACGTTGCAGAACACCCTCTATCAGGCTCTGGAATACCAGGCATACACAAATATATATATATATATATATACACACACATGAGTCACATGCAAGCACATTGACAACAGTGGCTGTCCTTTCCTTCCAAAGCAAAATCCAGGCCATCAGTTGATCAATTTGTGAATACCGTTCCCTCTCCTGGGAGAAAGCTGGGAGGGATCCCTTCGTTTCTTTCACTACAAGACATTTAAAAAGCATTTTCTGCTCACCACTAAAATATCAAAGTCTCAGTTACGTTTGCAAAACAGTACTGATGCTCAGTGCCCCCAGCTCCCGAGAGCTTGATAGAAACTGTGTTGGTGTGCAGGTGGAGTAAAGCAGAGCCAATTGCAAACCAACAGGCCATAAAACTGTTTGCAAGCACAATCTACATGAATAAAGGGTTTCAGTCAATGGAGACACAGTTTTATACAAGCACCACTTTTCAAACTGATTTGGAGTGCTCCCATAAAAACTAATTGCCACAGTTGGTGAATCAAACAGGCTTAACAAGGAACCCTGTTAAAAGGACCTGTGAACTGGGAGGCTGGTCTTCTTCCCAGTGGATTGCATTGGCAGAGAGAGGGAGGCCACTAAAAATAGAAGCAGTAGTGGTAAAACATAATTTTGAAATAAAGTGCAAACTGACAACAACAGTGTTGTGAATCAATCAGTGGCACAATTTTGGATACATGCAGAAATGTAAACAACAATCAGTGAGACATAGAATTTGCCCCAAGGCAAGCATTTCTGAATCATTATCTGATACACTAGTAACAAGAGCATGTCTCTAGTGGGCCCTGAAGCACATGGACTGCTGGTTAGGACATAACATTACTGACTTAATAAACCATGGTTTATTAAGACGGGAATGAAGAATGGGCCTTCTTCACATCTTTCTGTGACCTGGAACCAGGTTCAGACAATGGCTTCCTGTCCTATTTAGCCAACTGACATTTAAAAATGAAAAAGAAATCCTGTATTGGACATAATGGAAACTGTGCTTTAAATAGGATCTGTAGTTTAAAGAAGCCAGGGCCAAAGCACTGAGGGCAGTGTTCAGTGTAAAGGACCTATGCTAATTCCTGGTTTAATAAATTATTATTTATTAAGCTGGAAATATTGCATCTGAACCAATTCAAACATGTTGTTCATTTATATGGTTCTTCTCTGAACGACAACTCATTTGCATGGATAAATTCAGACATCGTGCCAAACCAGGATTAAGGAAGTTTGGTGCAGTGCCTGAACTAATGGACCATTGTTTATAAACAGCCAGCAAAAACTAACTACAGTGGTGCCTCGCAAGACGAAATTAATCCATTCCGCGAGTCTGTTCGTCTTGCGGGTTTTTCGTCTTGCGAAGCACGGCTATTAGCGGCTTAGCGGCTATTAGCAGCTTAGCAGCTATTAATGGCTTAGCGGCTTTAAGAAAAAGGAAACAAACTCGCAAGAACTCGCAAGACGTTTCGTCTTGCGAAGCAAGCCCATAGGGAAATTCGTCTTGCGGAACGACTCAAAAAACGGAAAACTCTTTCGTCTAGCGAGTTTTTCGTCTTGCAAGGCATTCGTCTTGCGGGGCACCACTGTAGAATCTGAAACAAGGTTATGAAGTTTGCTTGCAAATAATGGTTTGTGTCAAGTGTTTAAATTGACATACCATAGTTATGGCCATAGCTCCATCTTAAGAGAAGCTACACCATGGAGACAAGAGTGAACTTATTAAAGCAGAATTCTGAGAGGACAGAAAACAGAAGATGACAAGAAAATGACCTATAAGCCATGGTTTGCCTCTTGTACATTTGGAATTTCTAACCATGGCTTGGGTTGTGAACTATGGCTAGGCATAATGTCTGAGCCAAGGCGTTAGAGATTGAGAGGTGGGAAATATAACCTGTGACAAGAAATAATGGTTTCATAGGTAAATCTGGCTCTGGCCTCAATTCTCTGCTACTAAATTCACATACTATTTAATGGGAATGTGTTTTGTCTTCTCAACTTTAGAGATGACAACAGAAGTGAGAATTATAACAGTTCCAGAAAGTATACACAGAGATCCTTCAGGATCTCTATCAGAGAAGAACTGGTGCACAGACATATTAAAGAACTGTTTGTTTACTGCAGTAGAAACTTATGAGAACAGAGAGCTACTTTTCAGTTGCATACCATGACATCGAGAATCAAGGAAATGACAGGCAAAGGGAGAGAGAGAATGAAAAACACTAGGAAGTTTGGGACAAACATAAACGGGATATAGGACTGCTCTGCCTAAAAAGTAATATCCGAAGGAGATAGTGGGTACTTCCCCCTTTTTCATCTTTTCCTTTAAAGCCGAATGATATATGGAGAATTGAAGCAAAGAATTTGTGATAAACACACCACAGCTAGATTCACAGATGCAGGATGCACAGAATCCTGCTAGACAAAAGCTTGGGATGAATCATCATCACACAGCCATATGGAGCTGTTTCTGGAGAGGCAGAAGCACCCACCAAAAACAGAATGATTAAAGAGGATGTCATGACTCAGTATGAAATGTCATTGCTCTAATCTGAGATATTAAAATGAATCAAAATGCAAAATGTAAAAGCCCTCCGGCCTTTAACTCAATCCAAGATGCTTGTGCATATACCAGCCTTCACCAAGCTGGTGCCCTCCAGCTGTTTTGGGCTACAACTCCCATCAGTCTCATCCAACACAGCTGTGCTAGCTGGGGCTGATGGGAGTTTTAGTCCAAAACAGCTGGGGGGCATCTGTTTGGTGAAGGGTGGCATATGTGGTAGCAGCCTCTGGATCAGCAAATTCTGCCTAAAATCGGGTAACTACCTCTGAGTCAATGTCTGCACTCTGCTTGATGATAGTAGAACCATGGAACTCATTGCCACAAGGAAAATGATGGATAGCAAATGATGGCAAAGAATGGATAAGACATTGGTAGAAAGTGATGTCAGTAATTGTCAATCAATTATGCCAAAAACTGTCACCATTTTGTGTCTGGCTCTGTCCCAACCTTTTATGACTGGTTGGCCTCAGCTGTCTCAAGTGGGCCATGGAGATGGAAAGTTTGAGAAGCCCTGATCTACAAGCCACAGATTCCCCAACCCTGAACAGCTCCAACAGATCTTTCCAGCAAGCTGAAAATTGAAGTGATGTACATAAATTTGTGAGCTTGGTTATAAAGAGTACAGATACCTTTACTCATTACAGTCTAGCATGTTTCTTCAGTAGTAATGCTGAAATATTATACAAGTAATTGAAAGGGGGCAAAAGATCATCTCCCTCTTCCATGTCTGCAAAAGGGAACAGAATCTTTGGTGTACCAACTTAACAAGAGATGGAAGTTCATGCAATATTATCAGAAGCAGGGTATCAGTTGTAGCCTATTTTGGTAGATCCACTGAAATTAATGGGCATGGCAAACTTAAGGTCCATTAATTTTTATGAGTGTACTCGGAAAGGAATCTAGTTGGATACAACCCCATATCCTCCCAACTTCCCTCCCCACCTTTATTTGTTTTTTATAAGTGGTGGGTGTTTTTGTTTGTTTGTTGTTTTGTTTTGCTTTGCTATATTTTGTTTTTAGGTTTCTGATTGACCTTACAAAGCCCATCGGTATTGTTTGGCAGGTCAAGAAACCTATCTGAAATATTTTGATCTCTCTCTCCTTGCAAATTGTGAGTGGGGGGCCTGCATGTGTGCTGAAGACGCACCTCTTTACCCTGGCCTTTGACATCCGAGATGTGCGTTTTCAAAGCCCACCCTGTTCCTGTGGTTGTAATCTGCCCTGTTTTTAATTTGTTGTATGATCCACATGGAAAAGCACAAGTATAGCCCGCCCCCTTCAATCCCCTCCCACCCCCACATCTGACTCATCTAGAGCCACTCATGATGATGGTGCAGCAGCGTCATTTAAAACAGGTCCATTGGTGTAACTCTGGTGCAAAACCACGCTGATAATTTTGTACTATTACTGTGTCATCCCCCCCTCCTTCTGACTCTTAGACTAGGATAGCAGAACACAAGGAAGGGATAGGAAACCTGTGGTCTTCCAAGTGCTACTGAACCACAGTTCCCATCATCCCTGACCACTGACCATGCTGGCTGGGGCCAGAGGGCCACAGGTTGTCTATCGCTTCCATAGGGCTTTGTTCTTAGCATAAAGGGATATGGTGGTTAGGGTGTTAGGTGGGGGAGACTGGAGTTCAAATGCTCATTCAGTCATAAAGTTCCCTGGGTGCCCTTAAAACAGTTTTCTCCTCTTTCTTACACACCCACATCTCACATGACTGTGTGAAGTGAACTGTATATGCTGCCCTCAATGTGCACTTCCTGTGGCAGCCTAACGCTGCAGTAAAATGCTAGTATTAAAAAAAAAGAGTTACCAAACGTACTCCACCAAATCAATAGCACATCAACACTGCAACATAAAGGAGCACGTTACAAGGAACTAAATAAAATCAAGGAATCTGCATGTTCGGGGTGGGGCTTTGAAAAAACTGTAATGACTTTACAGCAACTGTGTAGCTTCCCCTAGAACCTATGTACACCTCATCAACATCTAATCCAGGCATGGACATACTTTGCCCTCCAAATGTTTTGGGGCTACAATTCCCATCATCCCTGACCACTGGTCCTGTTAGCTAGGGACTGTGGGAGTTGTAGTCCCAAAACATCTGGAGGGCAAAGTTTGGCCATGCCTGATCTAATCCAATGGTCTTAATTTACACGATGAAACAGCATTCCAGCATGTCTGCTTGCTTGCATTATGGAGAGGCATCTGCTTTTACTTAATACTTTGGCAATCAATTTTCTGGATAGAAGGAAGGAGCAAAACTGGGAGGCAAAATTATTGTATGAATGGTGTATCATTCATCTTGCCTGAGATATTTTAAGGTTGGGTCTAGATATATGGACAAATGAGGTAGTGGAGTCTAGAGGCAGAATAGATAGGACCACTTCAGACTACAGTGGTACCTTGGTTTAAGAACAGCTTAATTTATGAACAACTTGGATTAAGAACGCTGCAAACCCGGAAGTAGGTGTTTTGGTTTGTGAATTTTGCCTTGGAAGCAGAACATGTTCCACTTCCTGTTGAGTGTGTTCCATTTGTAAATTGAATCCCACGCTGCTATGGGAAAGAATGCTTTGGTTTAAGAACGGACTTCCGGAACGGATTAAGTTCGTAAACCGAGGTACCACTGTACTTGCAGTAGTGGAATATAGTGGTAAAAAGCCAGTGGTGCTGTAGTGCTTAGTGTGTTGGACTAGGACCCGGGTTCAAATCTTCACTCAACCATGAAACTCACTAGGTGACCCTGGGCCAGTCACAGTCATTCAGCCTAACCTACCTCACATGGATAAAATGGAAAGGAAGGCAACAAACCATGCATGTCACCTTGAGCTCCTTAGAGGAGGGGGTGGGATATGAGTGCAGTAAATAAATAAAATACTGAATCTTAAAAACCATAGAAATCTCCTTGCAAATATTAAAAAATAGCAGCTTAGGGAGGAAGATTCAAGCCCAACCCTCTCTCCCTGCCATGCTAGCCTTCTATTTGCAGGGGAAATTGACATAGGGGATCATTCAAAGCGTGATTTCGTCACATACAACCTGACATAGCACAGTCCATTCTACCATCTCATTCCTACCTCACTCTGCTGCATGTGAAGATGTAGCCTGATATCAAGGTCAAAATGGAGCTCTATTAATAAAGCCTGGTAAATAGGCCTGCCTATGTTGCCAGCCCATTGGCGATTTGGTAGAGCAGAGGTGGAGAGCTCTGTCCCTCCTGCAACAGCAACCTGCTTCATTTCGAAACTGGGTGCAGAGGAGGGGGGCTTCCCCCTTCTGGTAGACCTTTTGGTTCTACGTTGATTTACCTAATCCTCTTTCAATGCACACAGCATCTTGTCATCTGTGACTAGTGCTTAAATTAAATGCCATTTACTTAGGACAATTCCCTCATCAAAGTGCTATTTATCCAATACCACTACAGCCTGCATTTTATTTGACATTTGGTAGCATTTGCAATTTCAGCCATCTTGTGCATTCTTGGTTTCAAGGGTTTGTTTTATTTTTTGTTTTATTTTACTTTATTTTATTTGCAGTTCTGTACCATGGTTCTTTCTTAGCTTTTTCATTTTTCAGCTCAAACATCCCCCCCTTTGCTTGGCCTCCTTTAAAGTGCAATATTGTGCAATGCTCTCCAGGAAAAGGGATTATATAAACTAATGTACTTTGGAAAAACCCACCACACATATCTCAAAATCAGTGCCTCTGCACACTCTAACTGCATGTACCCAACTTTTAAGAGAGTTTGAAGTCAGAGTTCTCCTTTAGTGATTATGTATAGAAGGCCAGTATTGCACAAAATCCCGGAATATGCAAGCAAATGAACCCACCGTTGTAAGATCACTTTCTAAACTGGCAAGCAAGGAAGGCACTAAACTGGCAACTTTGCCATTGGAGCAATCACATTTGTAATTAACTTTACTTTTATAGCTTTGCTTTGTGTGTGGTTGTGTAGGGAGGGGGGTTGCCTTAGGAAAGCATTTTTCAAATAAGCAAAACAGTGTCTAGATTGATCCCTACTCTCTGTTTGATTATGCTGGTTCAGATCTATTAGTAACTATTCACACAGCACTTCGTTCCTTAGCACACTTTCTCCATTAATGCAAAGAACAGCATATTTAGGATTGTGGTAGCAGCATGGGAAATACTGTACAGCATGGTTTCCCAAACTTGGGTCCCTAGCTGTTTTTGGACTACAATTCCCATCATCCCTGACCACTGCTCCTGCTAGCTAGGGAAGACGGGAGTTGTAGTCCAGCAACAGCAGGAGACCCTGCTTTACGGTCTTGAATATTTAGTTCTTCTGCAGTCCTGAGAGGTGAAGGTTGCTGTTATTCACATTTCACAGATGAGAAATTGGGACCAAGGGATAGTACCCTACCAGCAATCACACCTAGGAAGCCTATGCTTGGACATGCACTGGAAACCCAAATGTACACAAACCATTTCATTCACTGGATTACACAGATTCATGGGATCTTCAAGTAGCAGTGGTTCGTTTTTGTAAAAACATATGCAAGTCTCCTTAGTCTTACTGTACATTGCACTTTCAAAGTTTCATATATTAACAGATACAGTATAGAACTAAATTCAGTAGACTACACTTTTTTTAGCCCAGAGACAAACCGGTGGAGGAAGCTGTATTTCTTGGTTTTTATGGGGTAATAATCCTAAAGGAGGAAGAAATACATGGCTAGAAACATAGAAGTGCCTCAACAGCTCAGAAGAAGAAACCTGGGCCACAATGCCAGATACAGATTAGGAAGACCTGGATTCAAATCCCCACTCAACCATAATAGTCAATTAGTGATCTTGGATAAGTTACCATTTCACCCTAACCTATCTCAAAGGGCTGCTGCAAGGATAAAATATGGAAGGGGTGTGTGGAATGACTCCCAAATATGCCACTCAAAGCTCTGTGCAGGACAGACAATGTTAAATAAATGGAATAAATGCATAAATTAATTTCCTTTTGAACAACTATATTAGGAAACTTATATGTGTGTTTTCTTTTCTATGCTGCCAAGATAAGTTGATAAGGAAAGCATAAAGCTAGAGAAATGAGTTCATCACATCAGGCCCCTCTCTAAGAAAGATGTGGCGACTTATGTATTATTCATCGCTTCATTTTAATGAATGGCCTATGGCAAGGATACTGCCTTGTTTAAAAATTATAACCCAGCCATCTGTCTACAAAGTCTCTGAGCATCTCGTTCGCTGCAGCTACCCCACGGGTGAGCAGAAGCCAGATAATTGACCAACCTCTTTTTGTGCTAGGTGCTGCAGGAGCTCAAATCAAAGCAAGCCAAGAGAATGACAACACCCAATCAGATGGGATACCCAAGGTCATATATGGCAGAGGAGCTGCAGAGCGAAGATCAAATTCTAATCCAGTGCCAAACCTGTGCTAGAAAATGTAAGCAAATTTAAAACAAACAAACACAAACACACACACACCAAAGCAAACATATTGCATAGCTTTCAGAGGCCTGTTTTTCATGGACACGTTTTTGGAAAATCACCCTGAGAATGCCCATTTGGATAGGATGGAAGGCGGCTGAACCCTGTGGCTGAACCCAAGTGCTGCTTAGGGCAGCAATACTCTCAGGATGGAAATACTCTTTTCACAAGCAGCAGACTAGGAAAAGGAGCCTTTATCAGTGAATCCCAACAAAAGCTTTGGATGATGAGTCTGAGATCATGTGCACCATCCTGCCTTAATATTCGGAGTTGACCTACCACAAGGCTCACACCATTTTTATATATTGACAGGGAGATCAGTTACAAACCACTCAGGCCTATAGCGCTGAAATCAAGTTAAGTGAGCAGATTCAGTCCTTCAGGATATGTGGAGATCTGTTGACGATGACAAATTTGTCCTTTGTCAACATACTGTGGTCACCTCTGATTCTGTGTATCAGCTGGAGTGTGTATCTTGCCCTGTTGTTTCAAAAAAAAATGTGTGTGTATGTGTGTAGATAGATAGACAGATATACACATACACACACACACACACACAGAGAGAGAGAGAGAGAGAGAGAGAGAAGCTTCATGCAGCTTGATTGGTCCTGGCAGGCTGAGGCTGCCGTCTCCCTCAGAGGAGGTGGAGACTTTGGCCTGAGAATCCGCCACGCTGCTTCCAGCATGTAGGAGGCGGCACAACAAGAGGCTGCCCTGCTGGAGAACAAGGTTGGAGGGCAAGCACTGCTTCTGCAAGGGGGGGGGGGGCGCGGAATCTAGAAGGCATTTGCTCAGTCCAGTATCCACATCAAACTGCTGGGCACCAAGATGCTTAAAAACACTTTAAGTAGCCCAAGGAGAGGGGAGGGCAACAAGAGTCCTGGGTTGAAACAGCAGCAAGGTGGCATTACTTTATGTTTCCGCCACGAAGTTTCCAGGGTCACTGGCAGCATTCATAAAGGAGCACCCCTCAAGCGCTAAATCAAAGGTCGCGCTATCGGAAGCCAGGCTCAGGGGCGAGCAGGTGAAGAGGTCACGCGGCCGCTTTGGCGCGTCGCCTCGAGAGGGAGCCCCGCGGCGGGGCTGAGGGGAAAAGTTAAGCCCACGCAGGACCAGAGCGTGGAGCATCCCAGACAAGCGCAGAGCAACTGCCCTCTTCTTCCCCCCTATTGACCTCACACGCCCCCAACGCTTCAGTATTGAGCTCCGGGCACTTCCCAGCCGCCCCAGTGCTCAAAAGTCAGGCTAGGCAACGCAGCCAGATACGGGGAGGATACAGGAAGGGGCTCGTGGTCACGCTCCCGAGGGGTGCAGCGGGGCTCCCCATATGGCTGAGGAGGACGCTGGGCTCCAGTCAAACTTTCCGGTTGCTCCAAGGGAAAGGGTGGAGATGTAGTAAAGATAAAGGGGGCATGATGCAACAGATCCCTACTCCCTCGGGGGTGGGGGGTTGGAGATGGAGGGAGGGAGGGAGGAAGAGCAGGATCTCCCGGGGGGAGTTGGCCGAGAAGACGCCCTCCTCGCGGCGGAGTTCCCTGCGGGCGCCGCGGCTTTAATCCTGCCGTTTCGCCGTGCATTTGAGCAGGAGGGAAGGACACGCGCGCACTAGGTGGGAGGCTAATCCCTGCCGGGTTGCAACCGGCCGCGCCGCGCCAGCTCACCATGCAACGGAGGGAGGGACGGAGGGCGGAGAAGGGTTGCAACCCCGGCTGCATTGGCAAACCATTCCCAATAACGCTCAGCGGAACAATTCCAGGCGCTCATCCGCCCGCCAGCCCGCCCTTGGGGCTGGAGCGAGGAAGCTTGCGAGGAAGCGTGGGGCAGATGACGCTCCCCACATCCCCACAGCCCATCTGGCATCCCAGAGCGGCAAGGGAAGGGAGCGAAAAGGAACCAAGGGCACTCACCGAGCCGTAGGGGCGCTCCGCCTCTGTCGGGAAACAGCCGGGAAAGCACCGATCTGGCTGAGTCTATGGCTGGCTGGCTGGCTGCTCCCTCGCTCGCTCGCTCTTTCCCTCCCTCGACTCTCTGGCTGTTCCTTTAAGTGGTACAAACCAGGATGTCCGTGCAGTTTCTTTCCCAGCGCCAGCTCGGCACCGCCGCCTCTGGTCGCTGCGCGCAATGGCAGCCACTTTCCCCGCTTGCTGCCACTCTCTCTCTGGGCTCCGCACAATAGTTTCCAGCCCCAGGAGGGCTCACGTGAAAGCGCCCGCGTCAAAACTCTCCCCTACTTCGTACAGGACTCACTCCTCCCATCACCGGTCCAGCGCTGCTGCTGCTGCTTGCTGCTGTCAGAAGCGGGAGGCGGCCGCCCGCTGACGTCACGACACGCCCGTTCGCGGATGAGGTCAGATTTCGCAGCCTGCGAAAATCACACACGAGAGAAATAAAAAATCTCGCCGAGGGGGCGGGGGAAAGCAAAGTTAGGGAGAAACTTTGGGCTTCCTAATCGACGCTTTGCGTAAAGATCGCCCTTATTTTTCGGAATTCTTTTGGTTTCCCCCTTGCAACCAACGTATTAAGAAAATAAGACGTTGTTTGCAAAAAGGTAGGGAATAAGCCTACAATCGTATGGGCACTCATTTGGGAGCAAGTCGCCTTGAAATCAGTGGAAATAACTTTATGCATAAGATTAGTCTGCATGCATCAATCAGTTACCTGGGATCCTGGAGAATCTAAAGGTCAGTTAAAAGGCAATCTATGTATACTATGTATAAAATAGATGCTTTTGAATTATGGTGCTGGAGGAGACTCTTGAGAGTCTCATGGAGTGCAAGAAGATCAAATGTATCTATTCTTAAGGAAATCAGTCCTGAGTGCTCACTGGAAGGACAGATCCTGAAGCTGAGGCTCCAATACTTTGGCCACCTCGTGAGAAGAGAAGACTCCCTGGAAAAGACCCTGATGTTGGGAAAGATGGAGGGCACAAGGAGAAGGGGACGACAGAGGACGAGATGGTTGGACAGTGTTCTCGAAGCTACAAACATGAGTCTGACCAAATTGCGGGAGGCAGTGGAAGACAGGAGTGCCTGGCATGCTCTGGTCCATGGGGTCACGAAGAGTCGGACACGACTAAACAACAACAAATGTATACGCAGAAGTAAATCCTCCTAATTAATTAAATGGGGCTTACTCCCAGGTAAGTGAAGTCAGGATTCAGCCTAAATACCCCACTCTCAATACTGCCTCCCCTCCCCAGATAACCATCTTATACCCACAGCTGAGGTTGTGTGTGTACATGCACAGATTGCACACTTCTGAACTAAAGAGAGAAAACAAGGGTGTGTTTCTTGGCAACTATGCATATTGCCCAGAGAATGTGCATATTGCTCAGAAAGTGCATAAAATGCATTGGAGATACGCACACTGGCGATTATGCATATTGGCAAAAGAATGTACAAAATTCACTCAAGATACTCACGTACCCCAGCACTTGTTGGGGCTTATGCATATTGGCTAGTAGAAATATGCACATTCCCCAGACTGACTTCAGGTCCAGTGTTGGACCATTTCGATCGGATACTCCCTACTGATGTGGATAGATTCCTCCAAGTTGGTAGGCCCACCACCTGCCTCCTTGATCCGTGCCCGTCTTGGCTGATTAGGGAGTGTCCAGATGTTGCGCGGACCCCCCTGGTTGAAATTATCAATTTGTCCCTTGACACGGGGACATTCCCAGGGGAACTGAAGGAAGCAGTGGTGTGTCCACTCTTAAAGAAAACTTCATTAGATCCCTTAGACCTATCCAATTACCGCCCAGTTTCAAATCTTCCATACCTGGGTAAGGTAATTGAGAGAGCGGTTGCTGAACAGCTTGGTAGGTTTCTGGAGGAAACATCGGCATTAGATCCATTTCAGTCCGGTTTCCGTCCTGGTTTTGGGATGGAGACGGCTCTGGTTGCCCTAACAGATGATCTCCGTAGACAACTGGATCGAGGCGGGTCAGGACTGCTGATCCTTTTAGATTTGTCAGCAGCCTTTGACATGGTCGATCATGATCTTCTGGACCACCGCCTCGCAGACGTGGGGATACAGGGCATAGCCCGTAACTGGTTGTGCTCTTTTATCTCTGGTCGGGGACAGAGGGTGGCACTAGGGAGGGAAATGTCGTTGCGCCACTCCTTGGTGTGTGGAGTGCTGCAGGGCGCAATTCTCTCCCCGATGCTTTTTAACATCTTTATGCGCCCCCTTGCCCAGATTATCCGGAGCTTTGGGCTGGGCTGTCACCAATATGCTGATGACACTCAGCTCTATCTGCTGATGGATGGCCACACCGACTCAGCCCCGAACACACTGACCAGATGCTTGGAAGCTGTGGCTGGATGGTTTCGTGGGAGCCGATTGAAACTAAATCCTTCGAAGACAGAGGTCCTGTGGCTAGTTCGGGATGGCATGGGGATGAGGGACCAACTCCCTTCTCTTGCGGGGCCCCAATTAGTGCCATTGCCTTCCATTAAGAGTTTGGGTGTAATCCTTGACGCCTCCCTTTCCATGGAGGCGCAAGTTACAGCAACAGCCAAGGCGACATTTTTCCACCTTCGCCGCATCAAGCAGTTGGTCCCTTACCTTTCCCGCCCCGACCTGGCCACAGTGATCCATGTGACGGTCATCTCCAGGCTTGACTACTGTAATTCCCTCTATGCGGGGCTGCCCTTGAAGCTGTCCCAGAAACTCCAGCGGGTGCAGAATGCTGCAGCGAGGCTCCTCACGGGGTCTCTGCCATGGGAGCATATTCACCCAGTGCTTTTCAAGCTGCACTGGCTCCCGGTGGAGTACAGGGTCAGATTTAAGGTGCTGGTTTTGACTTTTAAAGCCCTTCACGGCCTAGGACCCTCGTACCTACGGGACCGCCTCTCCTGGTATGCCCCACGGAGAGCCTCAAGGTCCATAAATAACAACACCCTAGTGGTCCCAGGCCCTAAGGAAGTTAGATTGGCTTCAACCAGAGCCAGGGCCTTTTCAACTCTGGCTCCGGCCTGGTGGAACGCTCTGCCTCATGAGACCAGGGCCCTGCAGGATGTGATTTCTTTCCGCAGGGCCTGTAAGACAGAGTTGTTCCGCCTGGCCTTTGGCTTGGAGCCAATTTGATTCCCTCCCTCCCTCTCTTTCTTTTTTCTTTTCCTTCTCCTACTGCAATGAGGCTACATTTTAATGTTCTATTATTTTAATGTTGTATTTTATTTTTGTTTTTAAGTTGTAATCATTCATCTTGTTTTTATTATTGCTTGTAAGCCGCTCTGAGCCCGGCCTTGGCTGGGGAGGGCGGGGTATAAATAAAAAAATATTATTACATTATTATTATTACTTATTGGATATTGTGCATATTGACTGGGAAATGTGCACAATTCACTCTTCATAGACAGGTGATGCACACATTCTCCATGCAACTTAGTTAACATGTGCAATGGTCAATTGTTAGGCACTTTATAACAACTCAACTTCCATTACCCCTAACATATACACAGCATCTCAAAATGGCCTCTTGGGCATAACATTTCTAGCGGAAACAAACACACTGTGTAACTCAGTTTTCAGCAGCATGGATCAGGCAAGGGAGGCATCACTGCTTCACCATGTGATGTGCCATCCACCAAGCGCCTGTGTCATCAAAGCACAGCCAACTTCCACAGTCCTACTT